TAAACCCTCATTTTCAAGTCAGGAAATCAGGATAATGGCTCTAGTAGAACTCAGATGGCAGGAATGTTTGGGAGTAGGCTCTTTATCTGTTTTCATCTGCCTCACTATATCAATACATCAGCTACGGTTCAAAAACACTGAAAAATTCTGCTGGTTAGACCAAAGTCTGGACAAACATCACAGAAGTTCTGAGTTTTATGATCTATTTCTGAACAAATATAGAAGAATCTATTGGAAATACAAACTGTAGAAGTTCTGCTAGGAGGACATATGGAAAACTTTTACATTTATAGGCAGGTTTTCTGTTATTATTTTTAGTGTTTGTCATTTGTTTTTCAGATACTACCTTCAGATTTCTTCAGGCTCTTGAGATAACCTACTGCTTATGCTTTTCAACTCAGTGTGTCCTCAGTATGCAAATTAGTAGACTGTCCTTAGCATTAACTGTAATGTTATTAGGGCATCATCTAATGAGGAATCCACAATGCAGGTGTGCACTAGTAGAAACGATAGAAAATTATGAATTCTCCCTAATGTCCTCAATAAAGAAATACATTTGGAGATGTGGGGTGTTAGCTTTTCTTCCTGGCCACCATGACATGATGTGGGTCATGAAAGACTACAATTACCCTGTATCACCTGTGAGGACTTCCTCTGCTTTGGCTCCTATGGGTGTTGAGATGTATTAGGTTAATTGCAGTCACTGAGTACCAGCTGAAAGTGAAAAGATGAGTGCAGGTCAGAAAGAAGACACTCTCCTAACTATCAAGGTCGACACCCTGGAAAAATAAATTGCTTGCTTCTTCTGAGACATCCATCAATGAACATGTCCTTAGATTTCAGTGGATTTCTAATCAGCCAGTCATTTCTTGTATTAAAGAGGGGGCCTTTTTGATTTGGATCTAGTCTGGATCCACTAATTGGAATCTGTTTTGCTGCTAAGGCTGTGCCAAATTGAGTACAGCACTTCTACCTCAGCACAAAGAAATCACACTAACCTCTTGGAAGTCTTTGAAATATCAGTGCAAAGGTTTTCCCCACGCATATATATGTCTAATCTTCCTTCAGCTGCTTCTCTGAGGCTGGCAGGTATCATTTTGCATCCCTCAGTGAAAATGCTGTAAAGAGAATATTGAGCTGTTTTCCAGCTGTGTTTGTTTAGGTAGGAATATTTTCTTCTACTTGCAGCACAGGCAGCTATTTGGGATTGTTGTCAGTTTTCTTTTGATATAGATTCCTTGTATATACTTTTTCTGTAAATGTTTTCAGCATTCACTGTCTTTTATTCAAAGATATTTTTTTAGTGTGCCTCAGAGAGGGATTTTGTAGATGAGTATCTGAACTACCAAATGTAAAATTGCTTGAGATGAGAAGAACAAATTTTTTTTCAACTAAAACTACATTCATCAGCTTTGTCAATGAACTCTTAGCAAAAATTTATGCAAAATTTGAAAAAAATTACTTTTTAAAATGCAGATTCTCTTTCCCCCAAAATTCTCCTCTATGTTTAATTTAATATTCAATCAAGTGCCTTTCTCTATATCCTATATAATAAATCACATATCATTATATATAATGGTTGTAAATGAAATGTAATTTTAAAGAAATTATAGGATGTTTTTAGAATAGAATAGATGTTTTGCTTGGAATAAAAAGAGACATTGAAATGAATTCAGAGTTATTTTAATCTTGGTACATTAAAACATAAATATCTTAAAATTATAGTTATGTTAGGTCAACACAAAGAATGTGTCTGATTTTGTTTAAAACACTTTCACAGTGTTGAATGAGCTGGACACCCTGAGGTCTGTCAGATGTATCCTTTTTGTCTTATTCTCCTTTTCTGTTAACCACTCTGTCCATACATGTTAGGAACCAGCTATTTTCAGCTTTAAATTAAATAGCAAAGTGTATAAAAATTAGTTAATGTCATATAATTTATGGACTCATGTCTATAATTAATTCATTTAAAAGTTTGTGTACATTTAATACTGTTACACTGTTAGTATATGTGTTGCATCTTCCTTATTTAAGAACATATTTCTGCCTTGGACCCTGTTGCTATTTGCTCTGCTATGAGTGGTTTGGATGATCACCCAAGTGTATAATAAGGTTGATAAGGCTCTGTACACCTGAGGGAATCCTGCCTATCAGAAATGTATCTCTCTGTATTCTTATTGTCTCATTTTAGGTGGTTTGGGATGTTTTCATTTTGTCTTAAAATAGATTGCAACATCTTCCAGGCACAGCCTTTGTCTTCTGGTGTGCTGAAAAAGAGCAGGGCCAACCTCGAATGGAACTTCTTGGTAGCACTGCAATGTATTTATTGTTATACAGGTTTTAATACTACACGTTACATATAATTTTTTAAGTAAGGACATAATAGCATTCAAGGGTGCATCTCTGGTTTTGAACAGTAAAAACCTGCAGGATAAATGGACAGTTACCTTTATTGCTCCTATGTTTTGTGACTTGTTTCTTTGGGATTAGTTATTTTTTAAACTCTAATATGTTTATCACATAAAGGTTACTTACTTTTGTGAGATGTTGTGGCCCTTTTCATTTCTCCTATTTTGCTGATCCTGTAGCAGACATCTCTTGCTGTCTGTAGCCCCACTTAATAGCCTGAACTCACCTAGGAGTACAGAAAGGAGAAGAAGTTCTCCAATTAGGCTGTAGTGAGGCACAGAAAACAGTCAAGCAGCCTTTCCAGATAAGCCTCAGCTCGATCTGGGTCAGAGCCCACCTTTCAGTGGGGGAATGCACAGCCCTCACGCCCCCACTTGTACAGCAGCTCTCAGAAGTTTTTTGAGAGCTGGAATAGATGATGAGCAGCAGGTGAACTGCTGCTCCCGAGTCGCTGTGGAAACTTGAGTACATCTCTGATGGTCTCTGTTCCTGTTCTCAGGGAGCTGAAGGGTAGGCAGTTTCTTGCTGGAATTTAGTATTACATTAAAAAAAAACAAAACAAAAAAAAAAAAACCACAAAAGGCATAAATTTTGTGAGAGTCTAATTGGCATAAGTAAGAGAGTACAAATGACAGAGAGACTTTTCTCCAGGGGCTGCAGTGATAAGGCAAGGAGAAACAGTTATAAAATGAAAAAGGGTAGCTTTAGATTGGATGCAGGGAAGAAATATTTTAGGATCAGGATGGTTAGACCATTGCACAAGTTGTACTAAATCATCTTTAGAGGTTAATTCTAACACAAACTATTTCATTTTGACTTGATATTTTTTTGGACTGTTGTTTCTGTTTGCTTGGCCTCATGTTTATTTTTTAATCCTTTCTTTTATTATAGCTTGTTGGCTTTTACAAAAATAAAAACTGAAAAAAGTACTTCATCCTATTATTTGCCCATTGGACTCATCAGTGCAATTTCTTGAGGGTAAATTTTGTTATGGAAGGATGATTGCATGCTTTTCAGAACAATTTAATTTGATGTAACAATACTGTAACTCTTGCTAAATCTTGCAGAGATTCTGTAAAATATCCAAATTAAGCACTGTAACCAGTCCGTGTCTGTATTTGAATAGTAGCTGACTGTACTTTATTTTGAATAATGCATTTGCACTACTTTAAAATTAGCAAAAATTATCTGAAATGAAGGTAGATTTGTCCTACCAAAGATAAAACATTTTTATTGCTAATGAAATATTGTGACATTCTACCTAATTGCTGGTATAATTTCACAAATGTGCTGAATCATGTTATCATGGGGAGCAGGGGACTCTTTATCTACAGAAGGTCTAGTCAAGAGGTGCCTAGTATTAAATGGAGTTAATATGCAATTTCATATAATTTGGAGTTTAACCATACTACTGTTGTAGGTGGACAAAAAAATTCTGTAATACGAAGCCTGAAATCATTTAATCAGGAATGTAAATCAGTTATGTGGTTCAGTTACCAAATGTTGATAGAACCGGCCATGGTAGATTGTTGTTTTTTAATTACAGCTGCTCTGTAATGTTGTTGTGTCACCAGGTTCCAAGAAAGAAAATAGCATGGTATGGCAGTTTGCTATGCCAAATGACCACTGCTCCTGCCAAATATAAATACTACCAGGAATGGGTTCTTCTATAGGATGATAGCCACATCCCTAATTAATGAATGCCACCTTTCCCTATATGTATTTGTGTTCAGATAATTTGTTTAAATAATGTTCCTACTACATGCTTTATAGCCTTCTGCTTTTTGCTACACAAATTTTAGCTTATATTGCAAACTGTGCAAGTCATTTGGCAAATGTAATTTCCATCCCTGCATACTAATCGATTTCTTCACAAACACCTGCTATCAGTTATGATAATAAAAATGCCATTCTAAATTGAAAAGGGGCCAAATGGAGCTTCCTAAGGAAATGACTTAAGTGTCTTTCAATGCCTTTAATGTAGTAATGTTCTTGTAGTGCCAACACTTTTTTCAGCATTTGCATTTTATATAATTTTTTTCTATTACACCATTTTTCTGTCTAAATGGTTCCTCATAACTGTTGCTGTGAAGTAGTTCATAGCAAGGCTGGAGAAAAATTTCTGTGTTTCCTCTCTCATGAGACTAAATCCAGCAACTCTGCATTGGGAAAATTCCTTAGCACAGACCTGATTGGAACATCTGGCCACTGTGCAAGTATAAACACTAAACGGCTGTATCAGTTCCTATAACATCACTGGGAAAACGTTGTAAAGTTGGTGAGTGCCTTGCCCTTGGACTGCATGCCAGTTTCTTCCTAAAATATAAGCCTAAATTTAGCAGCCAGATTGCAAGTAGCATTTGAATTATCCAGGGTCACTTTATGGCTTCTTCCATCCCAGGAAATAACCTTCCAGCAACAATCCTTGCCAGAACCTAATCATTTTCAGCTCTCCTGGGTCTTGTCTCAGCTCCGAAATGTCTCACTGGCGTTCAGCTGTATTGTCATCTCTCCAGACAATGTCCTCTGTATTATTTGAAAAGAAACAACCCATTTCACTGATTTTTTTCCACATTTTCATTTTCTCTTAGCCCTAGCCGCCCAAGCATATGCGCTAAAGGAGGAGAACGATAGTCTCCGATGGCAGCTGGATGCTTACAGGAATGAAGTGGAGCTCCTGAAGCAGGAGAAAGGACAGCTCTTTCGAACAGAGGAAAGCCTTACGAAGGACCAGCAGCTGCAGTTCCTACAGCAGACAATGCAAGGCATGCAGCAGGTATTGCTAAGGAAGAAAAGAAAAGGTCTTCTATTTTAGAATAGTCATACCACGGGGCTATGCTCTACTCAAGACTATTCATTAAGGTCCTGATTTCTTTTCAGAAAATCATGGGGACTTAGATGGGGGGAAAGGGAGGAGAGTTTGGGAATATATTTAGGCATAGTCATTTTGGGAATTCATAAACTGCAAGTCCATTGATCATTCAAGAAAATTCTTTATGCATTTGCTAGTTATGAGCAAATTGCTCTGTTTCTCTTCTCACTTAATCCAACTGGCCCTGGTATTGCACAGAAATGTTTTTAAAATTGTCTAATGTATCATAATCAATGCTCTGTGGTGTTTTCATTTGCATTCATCTGCATCTTTTTGTCTGCTATTGTTTGAGAATGACTGAGACATCAGCGTGTCCAGACTACTCTCCTTAACTTGCAAATTGTTAGCAACATCAGTGCTATTTCCTGAGCTATTATCATTTATGCTGACCCATGGATGCAACCTTTTCATTCAGACAGTTTTTAAGTGGTTTAGTGCAGCAAAAAAGCTTTTTCTCTGACACCAGTCAACGAGAAACTGCACAATCTCCCTGCAGGGGCAAAGGGTGTCGGTTTATCATAATTATTATCCCTTATTTGTTAGTGTGCTGCTGACACTGCGCTGGGTGAGTCTTGGCAAGCACACCCAGACTGCTCCCACTGCGTTGTGTGACGTGCACACTGACACACGAGCAGCCCTCACCCAGTGTGCCTGTGTGCAGCATCTTCCCTGCCCAGGCACTTGTGCTCAGCTGGTAGGTGACACACCACAGGGGCAGTGGCTCAGCACAGCGCTGGGCTGTGCTCCCAGCTGGAGTGGAGCTTCTCAGCCTGGCACTGCAGAGGTTAAGTTTGCTTCCTTCATCTGTAGCACCGCTCACACTCCTCTGTCACCCCTGGTTATTATATTCCAGAAGGGGACAACTTGTACCCACTTCCAGACTGTACTAAGCTGCTTTTGTATGGCAAAACCCAGGAGATACTCATTTACCTATGACCTGCCTGGTTGGGTTAGGAATTGCATGGCTGTCCTGGTGCCCATTGAATCCAGCAAGTCTGCCAATCCCAGCTAACACCCAATAACAGAGCACAAGGCAACCCTGTCACAGACATCTTTTCAGTAAAAATCCTTTCTTGGGGTTTTTTCCCCTTCTGAGAAGCTGAATCCTCAGAAACAAAATGTAAACAATAATTATCTGCTGCTGTGGAATGCATCAGGTAGATTTTTGATTGGCCCATCTTAGATGTTTATAATTAGTAGCCAATCGAAGCTGAGACTCTGTCCGAGATAGCTACCTTTTGTTATTCATTCTTTTCTATTCTATTCTTAGCTAGCCTTCTGAAGAAACCTTTCCTTCTATTTCTTTTTCGTATGGTTATAATGTAATATATATATCATAAAATAATAAATCAAGCCTTCTGAACATAAAGTCAACATTCTCGTCTCTTCCCTCATCCAAGAACCCCTGTAAACACTGTCACACAACCCTACACACATATTGATTTCAACACAAGCCCCTTTAAGCCTGCAAATTGTTACAAAATCAGGGTGATTTATTGTATGATGGAATAATTCCGACCAAAATACTTTAAAAGTTGAAAATAAGTAATTGATAATTCAGGAATGAAATCTTTCCCAGACTTCAGAATTAAGTCATTACTCAGAAATACTTAAGGTTTCTGTATACTTTAGATAAGCTTGAGGTCTGTTCATGATCTTATCCTTACATAAATGGATACTTAAATATCACTGGTTTTAATAAATTTAACACCATATGTAAAGATTGTGCTGTATTTAATCCTGGTGCTAATTCTCCATTAAAATTAATGAAAAAGAGGCATAAAATACTACTAAATAAAAAATCTGGAGCCCTAGCACCCATTAGGCCTTATTATAATTTTCTGTCTGGGGTCTGGATGAAGAATAATCAAGTCTGTAGAATATAAATAGATTGTTATTGAACTTCAAGCAAATGCTAATAATGTAAATCAATAACACGGAGTTACTGACTTATCTCTCTGTTCAGCTGGCCATGGACACTGCAGCCTCTACTCCTCTGAGAGTTCCTGTGTTCGTGACAGTTTTGCTGTGAGGTTCTCAGTTTTTCTAGTTTGCCATCTCAGGGTCAGGCCTACTTGCTCCCAATGGGATATAATTAGAGATGGCCCAAGGAGCTGGAGAAGACACTGCAGATAATCCAGTCTGACAATATGCTGAGGAGAGCAGCAACACAGAAGCACAGGAGGTGAAGTTCAGAATATTTGGTGAGAAATTATCAGTCAGTTAAGCAGCTGGATGATGGTTTTGGATTTCAGTAATTAGCCACAGTCATGACATCCCATAACCTTTGTAATTTTCAAAGGTTTATTTCTACATATTCATGACTATATGGAAATAAACCTTTGATTTAGGTAGACTCAGTTTTATCTCAGCTTGGTTTTGTCAGTGTTGAGAGATGACAACCTTAGCTGAAATCTGCCAGTGTAGCAGGTGCTCAGCATCTATGGAAATCAGTCTCACTATGAAATATTAAATATATATCCAGGACTTGAGTATAAATAATTTAACAAGAAGACCTGTATTCCCTTTTATCCTTTTGTATATATTAAAATTAATTTCAGACAAGGTAAACTGAATGCCACTGAATTCCTGAACCCTTCATATATGTCAGCATTGAAAAACATATTTCTCCTTCTTCTTTTCTCCTCTACTTCTATTCTCCCTACTCTTTCATGCACTTCTTCTAACTCTGAAAACTAGAGAACAAGTGATTTGAGCTGCAGCCTGAAAAGCAGATTTATCTGAGAAAAATTAGATGCATTTTCAGAATCAAGACATTTTTTGTAAACATATTTGGTGCCAAACAATAGCAAATAACACACCACCGATGTATTTTTAATGTACTTCTACCATCTGGATGTTTTTCAGGATTCTTCCCTGTGTTTGCAGGACTGATGAAATGAATGTTTATTTTTCTCTTACATCACTCCCTCTGATCTAAAGTAGCATCAGGAAAATCACACAGATGTTTGCTTATGAAGTGTACCTTATGGGCAGTAGTAGCAACCTCCTTATTTGCTGTGTCTAAAAAAAGAAAATCCTTTGGACTAATGACATTGAACTTATGGGGTTTTAGTCAACTTCCTCCATAAAACTGTGTCACAGTTTAATTTCATACCCACTGTGAGATCTCAAACAAATGGAAATAATGTCTTGTATCCATGGTAACAAATGAGATACACTTTACCTGATTTTGAGATGGAAATTGAATTAACTTGTCACTGCTGCATAGGTGGTATTGCCTTCAATTTATTTCTATATGAGAACACACATACAAAGATGATCACTTTTTGAATGGGTCTTTTTCCATCAGTGTTTGGTATGCTCTAAAAAAAGTCTGTGATCACAAGAAAGGATGTTTTAGTTGTAACTATTTTTGCAGCACTTCACAGCACAGCTGTAAGAATTTTTTTAATCTTGCCGCTCTGTCTGAAATGTTTCATCAGATACATGACTATAGGTAATGCAGAAAATATCACCTAGAAATGTTGCTTAATGGTTGAAATCCTAAGCCTCAATTTTCAGTGAGTATATAATTTCTCTAAATTTTAACCATTTAATTTTAGCATATTGCATGTAGAATGGCAAGCAGAATTCTTTTGAAAAATATCCTCAACATAATCTTTCAGCCATTCCAAGAACAGAGCATGAAAAATACGCTTTCATTATACATTGCCCATCAAATATAATTCTTGAAGAAATGCACTTGCCACCTTTATTTGCCACCTTGCTTTGAAACCAAGGCTCAGAATTTGACAGTGAGTCTCTATTGAATTAATGATGTGGTTCCCAGATCCTTTATACAATCTCTCTGAAACTGATAGTCTTAGCAAGCCTTTTAAAAAATGTCAGTTTTCCACAAAGGAGATGACACTCATTAGCATGTGTTAGAGTAAATTTTAGATTTTTACTGGTCATCCAGGATTGTTCATGAACCACTTCCACATCAGTGCAATGTTTTAAGCCTCAGGTTAATCCTGAGTCTACAGAGCACATGCCCTTTAGCATGACTCTAATTTAACAAGTTAGCTCTACCTTTTTTTTGTCAGGCTTAACTGGCTAAGGTGTGGGGCCATGCTTGTACAGCTGTGCTGATTCCTGAACTTGTACATTTGCCAATGGGCTGGTAATTTTGCATGGTGCTTCACTGCATCATGTAAATGTGGGATAATGTTCTTTCCTCTCATAACTCCCCGAGCACGTTGGGCTGAATTTAGCTCCTGCAGGCAAGGGTGTCATCCACAAATCCCCATTTAAACTGTGCTCCATAAATGTTATGTCCAGGAAATGTATACTAGTGCCTACAGTTGTGCTATTGCACATGCTGAGATGTGCCGATTAAGAGGTACCTCATTGCCCCCATCCCCTGAGGGGCCTGAATCACTGGCTGGGCTTGGGATCATACTGCTAACACAGAGTGACAGCACAGGCTCCCCTTTGCTGGCAGGGGTGCATTAAAGCCCAGCCACGGGGTTATTGCAGCAGCAGGGGATGCGCCGCAGTGCCTCTCTTAAAATTAGTGCTCAAGCTGGAAAGCCAGAACAAAGGGAACAGTCGTGTGTGGTGGGTGTAGGGCTGACAGAAAGGCTGACACGCTGCTGGGAGTGCCACCAACTCAGCTCAGCATGTCTCAGCAGGAGACTGAACATATTCTGGCCCTGCTGATGACCCACATGGGTGTCTCTCTGATGCAGTGTGATAAGAGTCCACTTTTGTCTTCTCTTCTTTTTCTCCCTGGACAATACCAGTTTAATGTGAATTGCAATGCAGATTGTGAACCTGAACACTCAGAAGTCAGGAGCTGCCAGAACCACTGCCTGTGTGTTTTGCTTTGTGTACCTCAGAGACCCTTCCCCATTTGGTGCCGCAGGCAGACAGTGCACAGTCTATCATCACCTGCTCAG